TGCAGTGAGTAGTGGCGCCAATGAAGCTGTATACCAGTGGAAAATAAGATCACACGTTCAAAGTATCCAGTGGTGAGATGCTTTTGAAAGTTTCAGCTGATGGTTTGAAACAAAGGCTTTTGTAGTTTCACTGACGCCACTGGTCACAAATTAACACATTGACGACCGCGCGCGTTTTGGCTTTTTTGGCCGTGTGGGACCGGGCCGATTTTGCGAGTGCGACCGCCGCACCTCGGATCCGTGAATTTTTATTGATAACTTTTTAAAGCACCAGTGGTACAAAAACATCTCAGTAACAGTCAATGCGTAGAAGGTAATAGAGTATATAGTGACGAAGTTCCGATTAAAGAACATGTAATGGTAATGAAAAAGGAAAATTTTAGTCATTTTATCTGTAGTGGATGCCAAAAGCTCTTTTGATGTGGTTATACCAAGTGAAACATGTATTTTTCTGTCTCTTTAGATTTGCATTTACTTTCACTACCCTTTTTTATTGACGTGTTCATGAGAATAGCATGAAAACTATTAATGAACCAAGCCGCCGGTTTCGGTGAGCTTGGAAAACTTCTTCTAAACTGGAGCATATTTGAACAAACAATGACCTATGTCGTTCACAATAATGTTATGTTCTAATCCATAGAAGAGAGACAAACAATTCGGGAAAAAGCTGCGCATGCCCTAGAAAAAGGGATGATAAGGGTGAGACGCGGTAACGCGTCTCAATGTCCAACGAGGTGCGCAAAGTGAGACGCGTTACCGCGTCTCAATGTCGTCAATGTGTTAATGCGCGGTAACGTAGCGGAGCCAAACTAGTGTAGTTAAAAAATAAGTTGAACACGAACATGAGCTCCTTCAAGGCTGTACAACGTCTGCGAAACCATGGTAGGTTGTGGCTGAGTTAGAGTGGGATCTTCGTGGAAAGCATGTTTCAGCACTGCTTTCGCGGGTCGTGATATTCGCAGTGTGGTACCCTAAATATGACAGTAATGCTGATAAAATGTAATACAAGTACTCCAAATATAAGAAAGAATAACAGGCATATGAAACCTCTAGGCGAACGAGCACAGACTGAGCATTATTGACATGGTACGTTGCAGGCGAATACTTTCCCTTCAACTCATTCATCCATCCCTGGAAAGAATACAGGGATCGTGTGACTGTAAAAATAAAAAGTGTACACATGGACGATGGCGGGACTTACCCGATAAACAACGCCTTCGTGTATTCCGAGCGCATCTCCTTCACCCTCATCTGCCTCACATGCTTGCTCGTATCTGTTCAAGTGAACAGGCAACGGGGCAATCGAAATAGTTTAAGAACGAAAGACGGGTGGCGTTCAATCTGGAAAATCAGTAATCAGTGAGTTCTAACTTAAGTGGTAATATAATGAGTGAGTACTAAAATAAATATTTTAAATAAACAATCAATAAATAATCAAATCAACAGCAAGAAATAAAATAAACATTAATCGCGGAGCGCATCATAATCATCATCAGGTCCCTACCGGTTTAGGTCATTGTGGAACATAGTCCAGGATAAATGTAGCCCAGAAGCCAAGATTTGCGATTTGCTCAAGCATATGCCGGGTTAATTTTAACATAATTTTGCATTTGGGCGAGTATTCCAATAATGAGATGCTTGAAAAACTTAGCACAACTAGCAGTAGTGCACATGGGAGATAGAAAACAAAGATGAACTGTGCATATCAATAACATGGCTAACTACCCAAATATGCTTATGGTTAGTCCTAATGCCAGTCTGGCATGCTACTTGTGTGCAGCAATCTCGTCTTATTGTTGAGTAAATTCCGAAGATCTAGAGAGTGCTCTTTCCAACCACTGCTGCTCTCCGTTGCTTGTGGTCCCTCTTCCTCACCCTTATATGTCAAATTTGAATACTCAGCCTTGAACGGTAGTAGCCCTTTTGCTTGAACATCTACGTTGAACTATCAGCTCCTTAAGTTCTTGAGATGAAAGTCTCTCAAAGACTTGAACAAGAGAACTGGCATCTGTTCGATTTTACTTCGAATAAAACCCTGGTAGTGTGGGAAGCCCGCTCCAGCCCCAACATTCGACCAGCTGATACACTGCGTTGAGCAAAAGGCCTTTACCGACCTTGACGCTCACTTGAAGCGGCGATCTTGATAAAAGCTGCGTCTGCTTTGATCGATTCAAATAATTTCAAAAGAGAGCGATCAATCTAACGGTAAGTATGGATATGCATTCAATTATGTGTAGCTAATTCGTAAACACTTTCACGTGAAAAGGAACTGCTCACCCTTGAACGTGGTTCAGAAACAAACAGGTACAGAAATCCTATGAATGACAAGTACAGACCCCAGAGAAGGCCAGTGATAAAACCTGAAAAAATCTTCTTTGGGACAAGCCAAGAAATTCCAAGGCCTGCTAGTAGCAAAGGTATGGAATCGAATATCGTAAAGAAGCAACTCACCAGGGCACACGAATGTGATGGAGAGCAGCATCCCAAGCAACATCATTCGATATTTGAAGAATGGCATAATTCGGAATCGTTGACCGAGTGAATAAATCACAGCTGGTTCTCCCGAGCTCTGCCAAACCATCATGAGTAAAAGTAGCAAATACTGATGTTCTAAAGTATTACCTTAGGCTCTTCAACCTGAACCATCTCGTCCTTTTCACTTGGTTGCATCGATGATGGTTGAACAAGCGTACACTGTGCAGACGATTCCGAAACTTCTGAAATTCCTGAGGAAATATCAGCCAGTTGGTTGAAAAGAAGGAACGACTTAACATACCGGGCGATTTCGAATGCTCCTTCGATTTAGAAACCAGTTTTTTGCCTTTTGATTTGGCTCTGTCGAAGAAAGCTCCGATTTTGCTCGCAGTGGAGTGGTCCTGTAAGAAGCGACGATACAAGCAAAAATCAACTTTCCGACAGCAAAACACTCATAGCGCCGTCAAGGCCGTCGGATTGAGAATTTTAAATTTTGTCGATGTCATAGCATAAATCTTCCGCAATCAATTATACGAAGGTTTGACTGTGCGCAAAATTACCACAAGCCCGTGGGAAACACACAGAAATTACAAAAAAAAATGGACCAGAGGCGACATTCTGGATTTCCACCGCTGTATGCGAGTGAAGTGGCTCGTGGCGGAAGTTAAACAAAGCGGCGATCACAACACAACAGCGTCTCCTGTATACTATAACCTGGCTTTCGATAAAGGATAAAAAGGATAAAGCATTTGCCGTTGATCAATCCCGTTTTGGGATGCGGCACGCATTCTACTTCCATTTGTACATTCGCAGTGGCATTTGAATGCGATGTGGCCTATACAATGACTTGCGGGGGCCAGCCGATGTTCAAGTCAGTGTTTTTATCCTCCCAGACAAGTCTGGTACCAATTAACCGACCCCGGAGGGATGGAAGGCTTGGTTGGCCCGGGCGACTCACGACCCAGGATTTGATCCCGGACCGCTCGCGTGGTGAGCGCGCCACTTGTCACTACACCACTTCCGCCCCGTAAAAGTACAAATGACCAATCAAATTTGGATCGGATGATGCCCAACTTTCCTCCTTATGTAAATTTCGGGCTCAACTTGTAGTAAGGCGTCCTCTCTCATCTTGAAAACATCAAAGATAACCGAACCGTCATCCCAGCAACTGTGTTTATATCATCAGTAGAATTGTATACTTCTTTGTGAGCACCACATGCTGCATTTGGAAGGTACTTGGACTATTAATACTTCGTACGCTACCAGCGAAATTACGTCAAGCAAAGGGTTACCATAAAACGGCCGCCGTTGGCAAGTTATTCCGTGCCTGTTCCAATATTTTTCCATCTTGGCCAGTAGTCCCACCAATAATTCATTATGGGTGATGAATGTATTGTTTTTAGATCTGACTATTGGAACGGAGAGTTTCAGACCTTAAAAAACGCCTGAAATAAGTCAAGCGAAACAAGATCCGATCCCTTCGCTGCGTGGAACCTCTTTATACCGACCTCAGAAGGATACAAGGTTTGGCTAGCTGTCTCGAATGGGACTGTATTCCGGACTTCATCAGAGAGCACGGCATGGAATGAGCTGGCCATTTGCGATTGCTGTCATTTGGTGGAGGTCATAGTTGACCTACGCGAAGAAGGGAGACGTAAGAGTACAAGCTATTGCCTGTAAGCGCGGCAGAATTCTCGCTGGTGGTGTAAGAGGAGAGGGAAACCAAAATGCGCGAGAAAAATCAAACACCTCCAAAAAATGCCGCTCTTTATTTTGTGTATTTCGTGTCTCTCGTACGCGTTACTTCGAAGAAGTTGGCCGCGCCTAGTCAGAAGACATGCCTGAAGGCTCGCTCGGCTTTCAAATTTTTGCGTTGCTGCGCTTGGCACAAATCTTGCAGTCTCTATAAAACATAAGGAACTAGAATATTGTGGAAAGGTATGAAGAAGAAAGCACGCTAGAAGATTGAAAACTCGAAAAATATACCAACAAAGGGGGGGGGCTATTCTTCGAGAAAAATTATTTTCGAGGTAGTATTAGTACTATGTAGAAAATGATTATTCAAACCGTTCATTTTTTACAACCCATTAAAGCTTACACTTACAGAAAATTATGACACTCGAAATACTAGGGGGTTGCACTTATTACTGCCGCCCAGTAGATTCGCAGCCTAGTTACATACACAAAGGATGCTGAAACATGTCTGTCATCTCATTTCTACCTTAAATAGTACTTGTCAAAATCCTACCCAAAAAAAATCGTTTCTTGATCTAGAAACGCAATTTATTGGGAAGAATCAAAAGGTATTGCGTCGGAGGGTGGTGCATCCGAGGGTAGTTATCGCTTGGGGAAATAGCAGCTAAACAGCATCAATGCTTCTGCAAACGTTTACTAAATGTTATCCAAATGTAAGCCGAATATGTATTCGACAATTCCACAAAAAAACCGAATAAAAAACGAGTACACGTGGACATCATGCAATG